ATGGGGTCTTCTAATACAAAGGGGAAATTGGTGCTTTTTTGATCCTTCAAAACAAGTAAAGAGAGTGTGTTTCTGTCTTCTATAAAGTATTTTATGGATTGGGGGGGAACGTCCAGTAACACAGAGCACTTTGAGAATCCTGGCTACACTATCTATGTTAGATAAGGAAGTAAAAAACATGATCATTTTTTTTTGAAGCATGGTTCATTTCTGAGGCCTATGTTTCTATTTCGGTCCAAAATTGTTCCTTTGGAATGGGGGGTCTCTCCCGTCTTCTGATGCCACATCCCAGTTCTGATTCTTGAAAACCTTGTTAGCAACCCACTTCAGCTGACCCCAGTGGGTTGGACAGAGACTTTGAGAACCCTTCTCTAGCCTGGGTCTGTTGCCCAGCTGTTTTCAGAAAGTTAATGCTCCGCCTAGGTGTAGTAAAAAGCACAGCGGTGTTGTAGTTTGAAATGGCTTTTGAGAACCTGGCTTGATAGACATTTGAGAACAGGGATAGCTTGTAGTGAGAGCGCCATCAGAGAGTACTGCCTTTGAACTTGCTCAGTTGGTGCTGACCAAATCGAAAGCTTTGACTTTATTGGTAGATATTGAAAAGATGAAGCCAGTCAATTTTCCCTGCCACTCAGCTATGCATCCAGGAAGAAAACTGGATATTGCTGTTGTAGAGGACCCAGGTGTAAAGGTATCAAGGTAGCTTACACTTGGGGGACAAAGGAATTGCTGCGTCTCAGTTCCTATGTTTAGGTATGGTATGTTTAGCCCCCTCAAAGGGTCTAAAAACTTTGGGCTTTTTCCCCGTACACTGATGAGCCCAAACGCCCATGAAAATGAGGTACAGCCAGCAGCATGGAACAAGGAAAGAGTCCATGGGCCTTGGCTGGCTTTTTCTAAAGGGATTGTCATGCAAAGAGCCATCTTCCTGCCCCTGCCTACTCGCCTTTGGGCCATTTCTACCCGCTTTACGTGAACCATGTAAGAGGAAAAGCAGTATAGCCCTATTCCTTTTCCCTAGGAGTCCGTGTCATCCCCACATGCTATCTGGTGACTCCGCTGCCCAGTTTCTAACTTGCTTCACTTTCTTCTTTACTTACCTGTTGCTCAGGCTGTTGGGATTTTTTTTTTCCTTTGCTGTTTTGCTTTTCTCCCTTCCCCATCTCCTTGCTGACTGGCAGGTGGGATGCTGCTTCTGATGGAAGTGTCTGTTGCTTGCTCTTGTATAGCCAAGCACCTGTTCTCACAACTGAGCTGTGTCCTGTGAAAGGCATCACACATGGTTGGGGCCAAATAGCTGCTTCCTGTGCTTGTCGCTGCTTGTGCGCGAGCAGCACATCCATGGCCAGCTTAACAAGGGACCTTAACAGGGCCAGGAAGGCTGTATGCTACTTTTTCCCATATTGGCATGTTTATCAGTAGTGCCCCACTGCTTATCTCATCCATTGCACCCCTTAGCTGGTGCCTTACCCATGGAAAAACATGCATGTGTCACGATTATTGCTACAGGAAATAACCAAAGTCTGCTCAAACAGCCTGACCCTAAGGCCAGGAGTGTTCCCTTCGTACTCCACTGGAGAAATGGCAATCAGTATGAAACTTGAGAGCCCTTCAAGGATAGAGTTTTTGGCTGCTACAAAATTAATGTGGGAGAGCAGAACTCTGGATCCAACAGGAACAAGGGAAAGTTGTTGTCATTGAGCCTGTCTTTGCACCCTCACAATCTCTTTCTGGTGAGATGGGGATCAGAATTGCTTGGGGATTCCCTTTTCTTGGAGCTGAGATGGGGAATGACTGACTCTTGTGGATTCATACTGCACTGTTGTTTGTCACAGCTCTCAGTACTGCCAGTGCTACTCCTGAAGGCAGCAAGAGTGTTGGCATTTCACCCCTCTCATGCTTTTAGCCATGGTACCAGCTGTGCTGGTGGCTGAAAATTCATTTGCAAAGCCAAAGCAAATCTCTCTATTTATAGCTCAAGAATTTTTGCTTTTAACTAAAATGAGCTTGCTGCCACTGCTGCCGCCTGTTTTCCTCGTTTTTGGCTGGAGGGCCCAACCAATATTGCATTGTTCAAGTCATCGTATTAATACAGCAGGGCTTGCAAAGCATGGGAGAAAAGCAGTCATAGTATCCCTGTTGCCTGGTTGATAACTTAGGCACAAGGATTCGGTGAATTGTCCAGGGTCATTCTGCAACAGATTTGGGACTAAACTCCAGACACAAGTCTCTGCCCACTGCCTCCTGTAGAGGCCATTGTCCCTTAGAGGGGGATATATGGTAGAGCCATATTTTGGCCCACCTGTGTTGTCTCCAGATAACATTTTCCAGGCAGCACGTTTCCTGACTATTTCGAGTGAAGATGGGGCTGCTGTAATATTTCCCTTCCCCGCCCCCCCCCCGCCATGCCTTTTCTCCCTGGGAAACCCACGTCACCACCACGTTTGAGCGCAAGGAAGTGTTTGTTCTAAACTTGACAGACCAAGGAGCAATGGTTTCAAGTTGCAGCAAGGGAGGTTTAGGTTGGATATTAGGAAAAACTTTCTCACTAGGAGGATGGTGAAACACTGGAATGAGCTACCTAGAGGGGTGGTGGAGTCTCCACCCTTGGAGGTTTTTAATCTACATTAGGGGCTTGCAAAATGCAGCTACAGTGAAGCGGCTACTCGATGCATCTGTGATAAACTGTCCCTTTGTCTGACTTTGAGCAAGTACCTTTTCGTAACGTTGAGACCCATTCCTAGCAGCTTTAACGAGCGGATGGTAAAGGCCGCTTGAAGAATTTGACTTTCAAAAATGCAGCAGGGATTTAAGGAGTGTGTGTGTGCATGTGCTGTAGTGCCCCTGGGGGATACAGGCATACTGAGAAAATGTCGACCGGTGATGGCTCATGCTAAAATTACTAGGTTGACGGCCAAAGGTGATTCAGAGAAGGATTTTGTCCTGCATTATAAAATGCAGTCCTACTAATGCTATCACAAAGCAGAATGAAACACAGTGAGGATTCACGTCACACCAAGGAGCCATCTTGCCTGTCCGTCCCTCATATTAGCTGGTGACGGTCACGGCCTACGCTCCTTTTCTTCTCTTACAGTGAAACAAAGCATTGTTTCCCTTCTGGAGCATGCTTGCAGTTCTTTACTTCATCTTCCCTGGCCTTAATTTTTTTTTTATTTTGTCTCCTTTCCTAGGTGCACAGTAAAGATAAGAAATATGTGTGTAAAGTGTGCAATAGAGTGTTCATGTCTGCCGCCAGTGTGGGCATTAAACATGGCTCCCGCCGCCACGGGGTGTGCGCCGATTGCTCCGGACGAGGCATGGCAGGCCACCTAGATCAGAACGGAGGGGAAGGCTCCCCCGACGAATTGTATCCCGGTGAAGGCCAGTACATGGAAGATCCCGACGACATCAAAGTGGAGGGAGACGAAGAGATGGGCGATGACGACGACATCAAGTGGAAGGATGACGTTGGGATTTCACAAGACGACGTGATTCTAGATGATGACAAAGACGTCGACTCTCCGCAGGAGCAAGAGAACTCTGGGGAGAACGACAAAGATTTCACTTGGATTTCTTAGGGATTTTTGTTGTCATTTGTAAGAGGAGGGGAGGGCAGGAGGAAGGAGCGTGTCGGGAAAAGCTACGTAGCCTTGTTGTCGTCCACGTGTGAAAAAGATTTTTTGGGGGTTTTTTTGTTTTGTTTTGTTTTTCTTTTTAAACGAGCCCTTGCTCTATACCATTCAGATACTGTATTTGGAAACATCACTTTTGGTGGCATCAGTTCCTTCCCCCTTTCCCCTTCCTTGCCCCCCCATGAAAACATGACTGTCTTGGTCTCTCTGTGGGAGCAAATCAGATTGCATGCAAGTGACGTTGAGTTTCTGATGGTGTGAGCACGGTGAGGAGAGTGCGCTAAGGAGACTGTGTGAAGCATGTATTCCTTTGATCAATCTTCTTCACCCTGAATTAAAATATCAGGGTGGTGTTTGTGCCCCGAACAATGTTGTTAAGCTTTGTTCCAAATTCAGAGCAGCAGCGGACTGACGTGTACACTGTAGGATCTTGTAAACAAGCTGACCTGTGTGGTGGAGGGTTTCCGCTGAGAACCCAGGCCTTTTGCAGAGATGGATTTAAATATTTAATTTCTGTCGATGGTGTGGATTGGTGTCGTTTTTGTTTTCACAAAGCCAGGTAGATCAAAAGGCAAATTGAGTTACAGCCTTAAGAGCTCCTTTCATAGTAACGGGGCCTCCACTTCCAAATACTTCACCGAGAATGATCATGAAATTATTGGGCCTTCTGGCATCCTAATCGTGTCCAGTCTTCCAACCGCATTTGCTTCTGTTGTGTGGAAGGAGCAGCAGTGTTTCCCTATGATACGTTTACTATGTATGACACGCAGCAAGACGCGAATGGTTTAGCGCCCAATTTGTTGGTTTGCGTGTGTTGTCGCCTTCCCCCTTTGGTGTCAGCTGCCTTTTTCGTAGATATATGCAAATTTTAGTAAATTTAAGGCATTTAACAAGATGAAGGGTCAACTGAAGTTGCAAGAAGCAAGGTGTGACGTTCTGGCTCTATGGAAGTCAGTTGCAAAGGCATCCTCAACTTTGTGGAGTTTGGGTTTCACCCAACTTGTGCCGTTCTTCCTTGCCAAGCAAAAACCATCCCGCACAATTGGTAGGTTCGTTACCTAGGTTTAATTAACCAAGGACACCTGAATTTTTAGTGATTGGCTCCATTTAAGAACCTGATATCTCCTCTGGAGTGTCTCCTCTGTCTTGTACAGCTGAGTTTCCATGGGCCGGTTCGGTTTTTGCTCATATCGGCCACTGCTGCCTTCCTCTGACAACATTTAAATCAGAAACCCAGTTCAAGTGTCCTGTTCGTAGTAAAAGCTTCTGCTTTACCTCTCATCTCTATGCTTCTGGTGCTTTAAACAAAGCCGAAAACCTCACTGTTTCCTTGCTTGGAGCAGATTTTTATACAATGTACATGAAACCTGCCACGAGAGGCAACTAGTTCAATCCAGAAGCCAAATGATTTAAAGGTGCTAATTTCTTTTTTTCCAGTGGTGGGCAAGGCAGTCTCTTATGGGGAAAAAACCCAGAAAAGTTCTTGCAGTTTAATTTTAAAAAACTGGAGATCCTGGTTCGACCCCAAGAGGAAAATTAAAAGCAGATTTTTACTGTCCAAGATCCCAATAAAGCAACTCTAATGTAAGGAATTCAGCTATTTCAGGCTAAGTGGTGAGGGGTGATAGCAAGGGAACCTGCTCCCCCACCCCGGCACCTGAACCCTAGCTGGATTTCTAGGTAGTGCTTTCTCAAAAGGGTCGCATCACCGTGCTTTTGTTCACGAGTCCTCACTCCACAATCGTCTGCAGTCCTTTTGAAATTAAAAATAAGTAAAGCTCACCGACTGACCTATGCATGGTTTTTCCTGCCCATAGTCCTTTCTATTTTCACATTGTACGTAAGGCGTCCAGCAGCTTTGGGACTGCTGGCTTGCTCGTATCCATGAGTTGAACAAATATTATTTGTTGGTCCTTGTTTCCTGCTCCCCAAAACACTCCATATTCTCAACACCACCTGTTAGCTAAAAGTAAAGCTCTGTGATTGCTGTCTATGCTGCTGCTAAACTTTAGGATCGAGGAAGTTAAATGCGATTTGTTGCTTTTAACCAACAAAAATGGGTAACCAAATTCATTAAATGTTCAAGGAATAGTGTGGTGGGGTCCTATTAAAAAACAAAAAAACATTTTTATGAAACTGTAAAAAGGTGTTTTTGCATTTTAGCTTGTTGTAAAGCCCTATTACTGTATTTAAAAATATTTTAAGATTGGACCTTTAATTATGATGGTAAAATGGGA